CACACGCCGCCGCCTTCCTCTTTTGTGGCGCCAAGGAGACGCAGTTTGTTTGCTTGTCTGTCGTTCCTCCCGCCCCTGCTCCTGGCCAGCCTTGCTGTTGGGCACCAGGTAATAACGAGCTTCTATTTCAGACAACTTCCAGGGCCTCTCAGCTCCAAGAGTACCTCCTTCGCTCAGGGCCGGCGCGCGGGGTGCCCGCACTCCTCAGCCCTACTTTTTCTCTTTTTTTGTGTGTCTTTCGCCTACATATTAAAAATGGCGGCTGTGGAGAATAAAAGCGTCGCGCGCGCAGAAGCGGCAGCTTAACTGTTTCCTCCCTCGCTCGCTCGCGCCCCCCTTCCATTTCCCCCACCGCCACCTGCCCCAAGGCGCCCGCTAATTTGTCTAGGGCAGAGAAGGCAGGCCCGCCCACCTCGGCTCGTACCTCCCCGGCGCGCCGGCGACGGGACTGCCCGGCCTCTTGCCCGTCGCCCCACTCACCGGCAACACCTCACCCACTTCCTCAGGCGATCGGTGCAAGCTGCAGCGCGCGACGCTTCCCTCCCACAAAGAAAAAGGAAACGCTTAACGGACGCTTCGCTAACAAGCTACGCAGCTGAGGCGGGCAGGATGGCGGCGTCGGGACGAGTATCGCGATGACACTAGGCTAGTAACGGGAGTTTCTCTCCCGGCTCCGAGGTGCTGGGTACGGCGCATGCGCCACCGGCCAGCGAATGGGGATGACAGGATTCGCCGTGGAAAAGCCGTTTAGCAAAAGAGACCAAGATGGCGGATTGGGGCGGGGCCAGAGAGGATGGCGCATGCGAGGAGAAAGACGTAACTGGCGCATGTGGCGGTTGATACTCTTCAAAGCGAAGCCGCGAGGTGGGCTTATGTTTCGTGGGAGGTCCTGCAGGATTCTTGCTGTTGAACGCGGTGCAGATGAGGTTGGTTGGGACTAGAACTACGATTCAGCTCTATACTCAAAATAAAACTCTGGAAAGCAAGATCTGCTTATGGTGCTTCGTGTTGTGTCTTGTCGATTCATAGAAGAAGCGAATGCGTTCAAATCTAGTTATTTCTAGTTTCACCCCTTGATAAGGATCTTTTTTTAAAAGACTGGCTTACTTTACTGATATTCCTAATTGTGTGTGAAAGTATAAAATGAGTGTGTGTGTGACGTGCTGTTCAGTAGCATCCGAATTGCAGCGACCCTAAGGTATAAGATATTCAAGCAGTGTTTTTACAGTGCCACTCAACACCCCCCCCCAGTGGTTTTCTATGGCTGAGCGGGAATTCAACTGTGGTCTCTTAAATTCCTAGCCGATCGCTACACGAAACTGGCTCTCAATAAGTATGTGAAGGAAGGTTAATTCAGCGCGGCAGAAGTCAATGATCCGAGTCGATGATGCGGTTGCCCTTTTTCTAGCAGTCAAGATTGTCAAAGTGGCTGTCAGGTTTTGCAGAAAACATAGATCATCAATGCATCTCAAATGAAGTTAAGAAGGGGGGGCGGAGTGTTTGGGTAGCTCTCTTTCAGCCTACTTGACTTTATAGGGTTGCAAAGATAACAAGGGGATGAATATGGTGCACATTTCCTTGAGCTTATCGGAGGAAAGCTCACAGGTTGTGATCCTAGGTAAGTGTGTGTGTTTGTGTGTATACATCCAATTACATATGGATGGAAAAAAATTATATTTTATTAAAGGTATTGAAAAAGACAAAGGCATACATTTCAAATGGGTATCAAAAGTGCTTTGTGCAGTCAGAATCTAAGACAGGAGCAACACAGAGAAAACAAGAAAATAAAGCTAACTGAACTACCTACAATAGTACTGTACTTAAACACTAACATAGGCAGCATAGTCTTAGAGCATGCACAGAGTGTATTCCTCCCAGCATAACAGCACGGTAACTGATGGTGTCTCCTAAGAGACAACTAAGCCAACTAAAGTAACTTCTGAACTCCTTTATATACCTTAACTATCACCTTCAAGATGGTCTGCCAATCAATCTTTGAGTTCCCTCAAATGTTCACAAAGACAAGAGCAGTTTCTGCACCCTCTCGGTGGTTGGTGCATAAACTTGGATTACTGTGATGTTGAAAGGTCTACCTTGGATTCGTATTGAAATCATTCTCTCATTTTTGAGATTGTATCCCATTACAGATTTTCCCACTCTTTTGTTGACTATGAGGGCTACTCCATTCTATTGGATTCTTGCCCACAATAGTTGATATGGTAATCGTCTGAATTGAATTCTCCCATTCCCGTCCATTTTAGTTCACTGATGCCCAGGATGTCAATGTTTATTCTTGCCATCTCCTGTTTAACCACATTCAGCTTATCAAGATTCAAAGATCTTACATTCCAGTATTTTTCTTTGCAGCATCAGACTTTTCTTTCACTTTTCCTTTCACAAAAATATATACATACCTTCTCATATATATTTCCCATTTTCTTGATACAAACTGTGGCCCTCCAGATGTTCTTGGACTTCAGCTCCCAGAAATCCTGGCCAGCAGAGGTGGTGCTGAAGGCTTCTGGGAGCTGTAGGCTAAGAACATCTGGAGGGCCATAGTTTGAGACCCCTGATTTTAAAGGATACTGTCAAGGAAAATTACAGGCCTGAGCAGAATGGAGTGTATTAATGAGAAGCCATAATGATCAGGTGTGTTAAAACTGAGTCAGGATGACTCAGCAGTGCTGATGCAACTCAGGGATGATGCAACTCAGGGATGATGCAACGTATGATCTGATTGGTCCTGTATATGTATATATGTGTGAGTTGTACAGTCAGTTGTATCTTCCTGCTTGAAGATCACATCTACATGTTATGCTGCCAGACTGCTGTAAATACTGCTGTAAATACATGTTGCTGAAGGAAATGCTGCTGGACTGTGTGTGAGTTATTTCTGGACTGCCTGGACTGCAAATCACTCTGCTAAAACCACGATTTGCGCTAAGAAATGCTGACAAATACTTCTTATATTTCTTCTCATATATAGTACCTATTTTCTTGTTATGTTTAAATAATACTTCTTATATGACTATTTTTATATGTTTAAGCAACTTCATCAATAGTGTCTCAATTAATCCAGTATTTTTCCTGTACTGCCCAGCACCAAAATAGCATTTTGAAGGATGGAAGAGGGAGGGAACTTAGACTGAATTAATCCAGTTAATTTTGTGACTAGAATGAGGTTTGAACTAGGTACATACAGCTCATGGTTTTAGCTACTATATTAGGATTATAAATAATAAAATATTGAATAAATATACCTGCCCAGGGCTATTATATACCTGACAGTGAACTAGACCTTGAAACCTATTTAGCTTTGGGAGCACACTTGGTGTTTATACTTCTGTGAGGAAGTAATAGCATTTCGAGAGACAACAAGCATTCCAAGTTTCAGTTGACAAATGGCCTGGTAAACAGCTTAAATAGCAACCAGGAGGGAGTAAATAGATATTGTTTACAAACTGAATGTCAGAACGTAGAAGCAGCATTGCCAAGAGTTTGAGTAATCCTATGCATTACTGGCACATATTCATAATAAATCTGTCCTGTTCTAACTGGTGTGCCTTTATTGTAGAGTAGCACTTCAGGATTACTAGAGGCCATTGTCTGGAGGAGGATGAGAGGGCCCTCATCCCACAACTACAGTACAACCTCATAGTTCATAGGCATCCTTCAGTTTCGAGAGACGATGGTAACATGCTCTGTATCGAGGAGTGTCCTCTCCAGAGCATGAAGCCTGGGTAAAGTAATAAGGAGGATAGGCTGTTACCCAAGCAGCAGATCCCCCCTCTCCACATTGCTGAAATGGTCTAATGGAAAGGCAAGAGCCAATACAACTGGTTCCAGCAACGTCGCAGGAGTTGGCAGAACGACACAAACTGCCTTCGGGACTCCAGCTCTGGATTTTGCTTCTAGGTTATCTCCTGAAGCTTTTTCCATGGTTGGATATAGCCACAAGGCAGTGGAGGTTTGAAATCAGAGTTTTCCTTCTCCTAGATGGGCTGGCTTCCATGGCTGACAAGCCCCACCTACCCGGCCTGCTCTCTAAAAGTGCGGAAGTATGATCCGACTTTTAAAACTTTCCTGCCTCCCAGGTGTATGCAATTCTAATTGGCTTTCCTATTTACCATATTAGGGTCAGAGATAGAATCAGAGAATTTTGCACACCTAACGGCACGGGGTCCTGGGACACCCTCATTTAAAGCAGAAAGCCCCACCCTCTAGGCCATGCGGTGGGAGAGACCAAAAGAAAGCCCAGCAAAAAAATAATAATCCTCTGCAAAATGTCCATGCAAACATACCTGGCCTTCAGCCTCAACCCAGCTTCCCAGGGAAAAGGGCCCATCCTGGACAGTTTCAACCATCTCTCTGTCATAAATGTATGGCTTTGCTGGATAAAGAAAAAAAACTGCTTCATAATTATACACAGAACATAGATACAATGGAACAAGTTGCAGGAATTCAAAGGATAATCCAGTGCCATGGTCAGTACAACCTCACCTGCTTCTCAAATCATCGGCTAATATTGCTTGGAACTGCATAGCTGAAACACACGTGGCCTTGTATGTTAGCTGAAGAAAAAGGGACACTGGATTGTGGTATGCCATGCCACCAGGAGATTAAATCATGTCAGGGGGAATAAATAAATGTTCACAACTGATATGCAAACATTCTGGTATATAAACTCTATAAGGCTTTTTTAATTAGTAAAGACAGAAAATCATGTCATTTTTACAGGAGCCTAGTTGGACACGACTTAACGACTAAACAACATGGCACAGTGGTGAAATTGCAGTAATGCATTGAAAACTCGGCTCATGACCCTAGTTCAGTCCCGGGTAACTGGCATGAGGTTCACTCAGCCTTCCATCCTTCTGAGGTCAGTAAATTGAGTACCCAGATCGGGTGGGTGGGTGATGTATAAGCAGCACACGTTTTGTTTTTGTTGTTAAAATGGCTTCTCCCTTTTTTGTTACATTTTTTTTAATAAGCAAAATTTCATCTTTCGATTACCTGCAGACAGTAGCTTTGAAAAGCCCGAGAGAGAACAGAAAGTTAAGTTCTTTAGGGGCTGTTCCAGAACTAGGGAGGGTACAAAGTATAGAAAAATTCATAAGATGACACATGTACACAGTGAAGTAAACACCGAAGTTCCACAATTTTGCAGCCTGAGAAATTTCTCATACATTCAAAATACTACCTGCATCTTAGTGTCCTGAAAAAAAGGAGAAAAAAACCTGCTTCTTTTGCAGGGAGGGAGAGAACTTAAGAAAAGACTGATGGCGATTCAGCCAGGCACTAGAGACTCATACAATCTATGCAACCGCATAATGAAAGTGAAGCTACCTTTCTGTGTTGCTGAGACCACTGTGTTGCACGATACCATCCAGAGAGTTAGACGCTAAGCAACATGATGTCATTTAAAAGGTGCTGGGTCTCAAATGTTTGTGAGAGCCTCAAGGCAGTGAAACACTTTTCCACTGGTAATTTTCAAAGGAATATTCAGCTGATGTTCAGGAGAGATTGAGAGAAAATTTAATTTTAATTATTTATTTGTATACAATACCAATTTAGGGCTGGGCAGATCAACAGTTTGAAGTGATAGTCACATGGGGGAGAGAAGAAGGAAAAACTGTATGAAACAAACTAAGAACCCTTCTCAGCCTGTACAAAAAAATCACATTCTAACCTAGGTTTCTTCAAATTTCAAAGTGCATAGATTACCCATTATAAAAATGGTAGTACAAATGGATTAAACTAGCTACATCCAATATTTGGTCTTCATTTTCAGTATGTTGATCATTTCTTAAAGAGAGTGTTCATATTTCACCTAAAACTTTCTGTCCCTGAGGAAGTATAGATGGCACATTTTCCCCTGCATTTTCTCCCATTGGTCTCCCTGGTAGCCAACCATACATTTACCAGAACTGGCCAACAGGTCACTAGAGGGAGCCATATCCTTATTGCTGAAGCATGGTCTCTGACTTCCTCTAGTGGCCATTTCTGATAACGCATGGTGAAACAACACGCTATGTACAGTATAGTGTTTGCTGTAATCTATGGCTTTCAGCTTCTGTGGTGGAGCCTGTAAGCAATCCCCCATGGTTATGGGGAATCTACTGTAATAATATTCATAGCAGAGCTTGGAAATTTATGTTTTGAACTAAGCCCTAGACAAGTGGTCCCCAAACTTTTCCGACCTGCAGACTGGTTGGGAGTGCGGGGTCCGTGTGCAGAGGGGCGGGCAGCCCCGCACATATGTGCAGGGCATGGGTGGTGCACATTTGCACACATGCGCAGATGGTGTGGGGGGTGGGGACGCAGGGCATGTTCCTGGGGGGTGGGGCATCTGTGTAGCTGGGTGGGCTGCCCGTGCGTGCGTGCGTGGGTGTGCGGATGGGTGGATGGTAGATCTGTCTCTGTGGCCCAGTCCTGACAAGGTTACAGACAGGGGGTTGGGGACCCCTGCCCTAGACAGTCCCTCAGCATTATAGTCACTGACCATGCTGAGTTGGTGAATTCTAGAGTTGTAGTCCTAGAGTGTAACTGTGTCCATATTTGCTTCCTAATAACTACAGGCATATTGTAACATTTACAAAGATGTAAGATACATTTATTTTAATAGAATGTATATTTGACTTTATGTAGCTGTGTCAAGATAAACGCACATAGCATTTTTCAAAAAGGATATTGCCATTTCCTTACTGTTGTTTGAAACCTCTTTATAGAAATTTAAGATTCATAGAAACTATAAGCTGAACAACAATAATAACAAACAGAAGTTTCTAGTAATTTGTTTCCCCAATCACCTTCTTCTCTCTTCTTTATTTCAACTATTCCTTTTCTCAGGCCAGCATCTAGCTTTTGCTTCCAGAATTCTTGGAAAGATAAAATGAAATTTGATGTTTCTGGAAGGCTATATGATTGTATACTCTTAGAACTGTAGACCTCTAAAGATTATCAAAAATCATTGAATGCAACCTCCTTTCAAAGCAGAGAATCAGATCCTGGAAAAAGTTTTTTTTCTTTTCTTTATACCGCCCATAATCCCCCAGCCAGAATTAATTGCTATGGCTTTCTGTTGATACTATTTTCTATTAATGGTTTGTAAGCAGCTTTATAAACAGATTTTGTCAATCTGAAAACAAGATATAGACCAAATATTGCCACAGTTTCAATATTTACACTGCCTTTAGTTTATACTGGTTGGCGATAAGCCACAGTGACCCAGGCAGCTGACATGATCACACTCAAATGCCCTTTCCACTGCCAAGCCCATCCTGTTCCTTGGTACTCTCAAGAACTATGGGCAATGAAGCAAAATAGGAGAAGGCTAGAGAGCATTTGGAGGCAGGTGCTGATAGTACTCAAACTACTGGTAAGAGCTGCAAAACTCCCAACCAACACCTATTCAGCAGTAGTGAAAGCTGCTTGAAAATCATTTTACACTTTCCAGATAATTGAGGTGCAAAACCATTATGCAGAACTATTCTGCATTGTTTGTGATTTAGCTGGGGCTGGTCAGGGTGATAGGTCCCAGTAGTATCACCTATGACCAGTTCATGTCATTAAAAAGAAAGAAAGAAAGAAAGTAGAGACTGTCTGCCAGGACCTGAACCATCAGATTTTGGCAGTAGATCAGGATGAGACCTCCACTGCACAAGCTTGTCTAGTTATATTAAATCAATTTCATACTGTTTCATCATCTGAGATTGAGAAGGTGCTTGATCAATATAGGACCACTGCAACCTTCCTAGATCCTTGCCTGGCCTTTAAAAGCTGCCAGACCAATAACAATGGGATGGGCCATTTCTATCAATTCTTCCCTTCTTGAGGGTCAGGTTCCCAAAACCCTCAGGGAGGCACTTATTAGGTCCATCCAGAAGAGAAATAAACTTGGCAGTGGATTATTGTAACAACTATCACCCTGTTGCCAATGTTCCTTTTCAAAGCAAGCTAAAGGAGAGGGTGGTGGCCAACATCTTCATGAACTCTTGGATGAAACCAATGCCTTCGATCCATTCCTGTCTGAGTTCAGGCCATGTCATGGCACAGAGACAGCATTGGTCACCCTGCACAATGACCTCTTTGGGGAGTCCAACAGGGGTAAAATATCCCTGCTGGTCCTCCTCAACCTCTCAGCTGCCTTTGATACCATCAACCACGGTATCCATCTGGGGAGGACCATTCCTAGAAAATGCAATTACCAGAGATGGTCTCCACCCTTTGGACTCTTGATTGTGGAGCCCCTCGGGTTGATCACTTCCCTGTTGCTATTTAATGTGTATGTGAGGCAGCTGGGGGGGGGGCATCCAGAGATTCAAAGTGACATGTCCTCGATATGCAGATGACACACAGCTGTATCTTCTACCCTTCTGCAGTGGATGCTGTCCCATCCCTTGAGCACTGCCTGGCTGTGGTATTAGAGTGGATGGGGACCAACAGATTGAGGCTGAACCTGGGCAAGACAGAGGTTCTTCAGGTGAGTGCTCGGTCTGCAGATTGGGTGCTTACCTTTCTTTTGGGTTTCTACTCTCTCTGTGAAGGATGGGGTTCATAGTTTCAATGTCCTACTGGACCCAATGCTTTCAATGGACACTCAGCATCTGTGATCTAATCTGCCTCTTTTCATCTTAGGTGGATTGCCCAGCTGCATCCCTGTCTTGATATCTGGTCCCTCACCACATTGCTCCATGCATTGGTAGTCTCAAGATTAGACTGCTGCAACTCTTTCTAATGGGGCTACCCATGAGGCTGTGACAGAAAATTCAACATGTTCAGAACATGGCAGCCAGGTTATTGAGCAGAGTGAATAAATAACTGCGACAATTGCCCCACGTCACTCCTGTCACTCATATTCAGGATCTCATTTGCATGAGCCTATGAGAGGAGTGGAGGGGCGGAATCAGCAGGTATAAGAAGGTTTGGCAGAAGAGATGAAAGAGATATAGAACTTGCAGAGAGAGAGAGATAGTCAGGGAGATAATGAGAACAGAAATAGATAGGGCAGGTGGTGATTAGTTATGTGGCAAGATATATGACATTTTAATGACTTGATTGTATGCATTGAATAAAGAACATCTATGATTCTGAATACATTTCAATAAATAGGTTCTGTTGGCAGTAACCAGACAAGTGTCTGACTAAAGTTCTTTATATATTGTGGATAAAGGAAATCCACTGGTGGCAGTGAAGAAAAGAGGGAATGTCACAATTGGTATCTGCTGGTGGGATGACATAGCGTGAGCTCTTTGTTTGGGGAAACAAGCAGGGCCCACGTGCTAAACGTCACAAGTGGTGTCCAGCGGCTGGATACGAAAAGATTCCGGTAAAGCCAAAGTTTAAAGTGAGTTTTTCTGAGTGAAGAGTGCCTTTTAGTCAGAGGTCTGTAGTGAAGAAGTGGGTGACTCGCTAGATCTTTTGTGGAAAAGCTTAGTGGCAGGGCTTCTGAACGCAGATCTCGGGGGGACTAAAGATAGGGAATGACTCTGAGGGAAAAATTCTGTTTGAGGTTATCTCAGGATTTGAATAGACCCAGTGGGCTAGCTTAGAATCCAAGGCTCTGAGAGTTAATAGAGTGCTTGTGGATAAAAAGTGGAAGCCAGGGTCCACCTCATGTCTGAGGTGATAGGAACAAGCAGAGGCTTGGGGGAAAAAATCAGAATTTATTTTGTGTCTGGAGGCAAGAAGATTGTCTCAGACTAAGGAACATCGTGGCTGGTGTGGTGTCAGAAAAAGTGTAGCCATCCTTAGCTGCTGAGGGAGAGCTACATAGTATCTCAAAAAGAAAAAGTATTTTAAAAAGAGGCCTGACAATCTCTGCAATATACAACTCTTATCCAAAGAAATATACACACGTATGCCACCTAAAAGAAGTAAAAAGCTAGTAATGGAGGTAATTGATCCTCAAGAGGCACTAGATTTGTTGGCAAGGCCCGTATTTTGAACCCAGAGCCAATAAACAATGTTATGTGTGCGTAGAGAAAGGACACTTTTGGGCTCAGTGTCAGACCCAAAAGACTAGGGATGTTAACCAGCAAAAAAGGGGGAAATTCCAGTCAGCCAAAGAAAGTATTTTGTGTACAGCATAATGGAGCTACCAAAGAGGCAGCTGAATCTGTTGCCATAGCAACCCAAGTAACAGAGAGGACAGAGAGCCAAGAGCCTCCTGTGGCTAGGGTCGTCCAATGCTTTTTGATAGAATGTAACCAGAATCTTCTACGTAGCTCAGGCGATGTTATTTATGTTGATAATAATAAGTATCTTGCACTAAAAGATTCTTGCTCACAAGTCACCCGGATATAGTCCCTAAGGACAATGTCTTAAAACTTGAAAATATTTCTATTAAAGGGATGGGTCTGAAATAGTGGTGTTGCCCATGGTAAAAATTCCTATAAGATATAAAGGATGGTCAGGAGTTTGGAAAGTGGCCATATCTGATCAAATTCCTGCCCTATGTTTAATAGGCCTGGATTTAGCTGAGCATGTACAGAATGTTTTTGTGACAACTCACTCTCAGAGATGGCCAATTGAAACCACTGAGGAAAACAACGAAAATCTTCCTGAAATAAGAGAAGTGAAACAGCTGATCTAGTTACCATGAGGAATCCTAATCATCCATCTTTCTGAAAAGAACAAAAGGAAGACCCTACCTTAAGTGAATACTTTAGACAAACAAAGGAAGGGCCCCTGACCCCTGAAAACCCTGAAAGATACTGTGTAAAGGAAGACCTATTATATAGAGAGATTCTAGTGAATCCTATGAGGGGAAGGGAAAGCATTCTCAGATAGTTGGTACTACCTTTCAAATATAGGGAGAGGATTTTAGAAAAGGCGCATAAAGACATAATTTCATTGGCTAATCACACAGAAACATTTATTGCTTGCAAAGCTGTTGGCCCAAACAGTGACTACATGTTTTGCTTTTATCTCTTGTTCTATAAAATATTTACTTTGTTTTTTTAACTGGAAGCTTGGAATATGGACCAGCTGATAGTTTTAAAAAAGCTTTGCTTGACATAGAATCATAGAAAAGTGAAGTTGGAAGGGGCCTATAAGGCCATCGAGTCCAAACCCGTGCTTGATGAAGGAATACAAATCAAAGGATATCTGCCAGGTGATTATCTAAGCTTTTCTTGAATGCCTCCAATGTTGGAGCACTCACCAACTCCCTAGGTAACTGGTTCCACTGTCAAAAGTGAGTGTAAAATTCAGCTAACATGGCAACCCTGTTCAATCAACCCACAGCAGACAACATATGTCAATTTTTTAACTCTATAAACCATTTCTTGGCCTTTGTTACATGACCATCCTCGGATAACTTATCCTACACTGTTGATCCATTTTGTAAGTTGCCAGTGGCCCCTACCAATTTCTGCTTGCAGTGGCAGATCATCATTCGTTTAACTCAGCCTTAACATTAATGCATTAATGGGGAAGTATATATGTTGTGTTTGTGTTACGGTCTTTGATGGCTTATTTCTGTATCTTCTGTCACTGATATTTATTTATTTATTTATTTATTTATTTATTTATTTATTTATTTATTTATTTATAAACCTATATATACTTCCCCATTAATGCAATGCATTAATCTGGGCAGTTTACAGCAAGCCAAAACATATAATTGACATAAAAAATAAAATAGTTACATTGTTCAAATAGTTAAACAAACCACAAAACCTTCAAGAGTTTTATAAGAAATAGAAGGTGGAACAGGAGGCATAACAGAAACATACTAGAAAAACAAAACTACAAAAAAGATGTCAAGTAAGGTTGCCCAAAAAAAGGCCTCTCTGTATAGTAGTGTTTTTTAAGTGCCTTTTAAATGTGGGGAGGAAGGGAGCCAGGGGCAGCTCTACTGGAAGTTGGTTCCAGAGTGGTGGCACCACAGCCAAGAAGGCCCTGTTTCTGGTGGATGATCTTCTGGCCTCCTTTGGATATGGTAGGAGGAGGCGAACTGTGATTCACTGGTTGCATCAAACTCCTTCCTATGCCCAAAGGTAGCCTGAGCACCCTTTAAACCTAAAAACTATTTAATGTTTTTGTGGAAGAAAATATCTCATGAAATCCCCTTGTGTAGAGGTAATTCTGCCATGAGTGATTTCTAGCACAATAGGATTATCCAGCCCACCCTCAAATTTTTATTTAATTTAAAAAAAACCTGGCCACTAGAGGGTTCAAGGACATCCAAGATTTAAGAAAAAAAAACCACCCCATTTTGTAAGAGAAAAATTGAAGGGCTGCGGGTCATGGGAGCAACCCCCAAATGTCTGGGTATGGGCATATGCGGCATATCCTCCTGTGACATAAGGCCACCGCTCTGGCCCTACAATAACCAAGGCTCCAGTCCTGGCACAGCTAAGAGTTAGACTCTGCCAGCATTCAGTACATTATTCTGCTGAGTAAACAAACACAGGATTAGAACTCTTTGTTACAGTTCCTGAACTAGGATAATTAAACGGAAAGATCTCTAAAATGCTAGCTTTAATAAAATTTACATAATAAATATATTAAATGTTATTACTAATCTTTAAAAGGAATGTCTTATGAATTTGTATGAGACAAAATTCTATGAAATGTTGGTTCTCTACTCAGTAGCGCCCAAAGAGACATATTTTTAAAATGTGCTGTGAGTTAAAATAACCTGCCAGTTTTTTCTGCTCAGCTATTTGGTTTAATATTAACTGGGGCATTTATATAACAGTAACAACTGGAAAGAGAGGATCAGCACTTTGAAAAAAGCCATTTTAAAAAAACCGTCCAGACATTAAGGAAGAAAAATGCAGATCGCTATTTTCACAGTTGATGCATTTACTGATCAACCATTTCGTGGCAACCCTGCAGCTGTTTGTCTTCTAGAAGATGTAAGTTTTTGATATTTTCCTTTATCTCATCCTTTTAAGTCTTAAAAGACTGCTGAGCAAGTGGCTAATCTTTGTGTATTATGACAGCTTCCAGTTTCTGTTCAGTTCAATGTGCTTTTACTTGAAAAGTAGCAAGTGTTTGGCTCTGTATGGGCAGAGGAAAGTTTTTTGTCTTTACTGTTTACTCCCAAGTGTACAAGATAATAAAATATATATTTACATTTTAAAGAAACTTTTGCTTGGATGGCGCCTGAGTCAGCCCTTCAAAAAAGGTTGTCATAGGATTTGGCCTTTGCTTGGTGACTCAATCCTATGTATAACATGCTGTTCCGCTTCATGCTTTTGCTTTGCCTTGCGCATATACTTTCTCTTTTTGCTTACGTGTGTATGTGTGTCTGGGTTTATTTATTCTCTGCTTTGGGTATTTGTAAAAAAATCATTTGTGAGCTGGTTTGAATGCCAT